TCAGGGCTGGAGAGGTGACTCAGCAGTTGAAAGCACTGGCTGCTCCTACAGAGGATGGGGTTCAATTCCCAACACCCACATGACAGCTCACAATCATCTATAACTCCAGTTCCAGGGGATCTGATGCCCTCTTCTGGCCTCTGCAGACATTGCACACATGGGTACACTTCATACATGCAGGCAAAGCACTCATACACATAAAATAAAAATAAAAATTTTAAATGAGTTCTTCAAAAGAAAAATACATATAAAAATTATCCTTTTGAATTTTGACCAAAAGTGTAACTACTCTTAAATATCATTTAGTACTCCAAACTGACTTTCTCAGGCTTCTAACAAGACTTACAAACCCCCTTGTACTGTAACTTTTGATATTTAAAAATGTTGTCTCACTAAAAAGAAATATCAAGGAAAAAATTGAAACAATCTCTTAGCAGAATCAATGTCTTAATATCATAGCAAAGTAGCTTCATGTAATGAATTGAAAGCACAACTTGACAATTTTTTAAAACTCCAACAAATCAGTAGTAATGGAAGAGTAAACAAAGGATAAATGGCTCAACAGAAGAAGAGGAAGCAGAAGATAAAACCTGAATGACCAATAAAGTGAAGAGATGCTTGGCTTCACTGCTCCTCAGGAAAATGCAAACTGAATTGATGCAGATCATTTTATATGTATAGGATTGTTGCTATGGTTTGCATGTGGTTGGTTTGTCTCCCAAAGATTCACATGCTGGAAGAGTTGGTTCTCGCTATACCTGTAGAAAGAGGCAGTGGAGGACTGGGTCCATAAATCACTTTCTGTGTAAGGATGAAGACCTAAGTTCAATCCCCAGAACCCCTACAAAAAAGTAATGATACAGACTTGTGAATTCCAGCTATGTCAACGTGGGAGGTGGAGACATGCAGATCTAACCAGCCAGCCTACCCTACCTAGTAAAGTTCCAGGCCCTTATACATTCAAATATTTGAACACTTGGTCCCCGGTTGGTGTCACTGTTTGGGGAGGTTTAAGGTGCATCCTTGCTGGAGGTAGTATAGCACTGGTGGCGGGTTTTAAGAATTCATAGCATCATTGGGGCCTGGAGAGATGGTTCAGTGGTGGAGAGCACTGACTGCTCTTGCAGAGGACCCGGGTTCGATTCCCAGCACCCACATGGGGCTGTAAACCATCCTTAACTCCAGTTCCAGGGGAATCTGAAGCCCTCTTTTGACCTCTGTAGCATTGCACGACACTGGTGCACTCACATATATGTGGGCAATACACTCATACACATAAAATAAAAATAATAAATGAACTATATAAAAAAAGAATTCATAGCATCACAACTCTTGAAATTCACGTTCTCTGCTTTGTGTTTGTAGTTGAAGATGCGAGCTCTCGGCTTCCTGCTCCTGCTGCCGCACCTTCTCTCCTGTTACTGACTTTCCATCTGGAACTATCAGCCAAAATAAACTTTCTTCTGTAAGTTGCTTTTGGTTATGGTGTTTTATCATAACAACAGAAAAGTAACTAGTACACTGTCTCAAACAAACAGTTGGGGCTGGAGAAATGGCTCAGCGGTTAAGAGCACTGACTGCTCTTGCAGAGGACCTGGGTTCGATTCCCAGCACCCGCATGGTGACTATGAACTGTCCTTAACTCCAGTTCCAGGGGAATCCGAAGCCCTCTTCTGACATCTGCGACATTGCACAACACGGGTGCTCTCACATACAGGCAGACAATACACTCCTACACATAAAATTTTTTTTAAAAAAAGTGGAAGCTGTCCTCTGAACTTCAAACACATATGTTATACATACACCCACAGAAACACATGCACAAACACAGACACAGACACACACAGACAAAACCATGTACACACATTCATACATACAAAAGGTGGTGATACCTTTAAAAGGTGGGGCTTAATCAGAGGTGGTTAGGTCATTGTGTGCATTGCTCTCAAAAGGTATTAATGCTGGTCTTGCAGTAACATAATTATCTCTAGAGTATGTTTCTATAAAAACAAGACTACCCCATGTGCTTGACATCCTTTGTACACAGTTGCTTCCCTTCCCAATTCTCTGTCATGTTATGATGCAGCCAGGGAGACCTCACCAGAGCCCAAACCCATGAGCTACTTGATTTGTCCTTTTAGTCTTCAAAAGTGTGAGCTCAATAAATTTATTTTTATTTATAAAGTATTAAGCCTTAGGTATTTTGTTACAGTAACATGAAGTATCTAGTCTTATGTATTTTCTTACTGCAAGTGCTAATGCAGTTGGTATGAATTAAAACAAAAGTTGGTAAGGATTAGGACTGTTTTTACACATTAAGTACAGCTTAGCAATGGAGTACACTAGTTATTTTAATATGCATATTGAAGATATCTATTCCATTTATGCTTACTCTAGATAAATTGTCACCAGTAGCTGTTCCTTGTAGCATTGATTTAAAGGTGAAAAACCTAAACATCCATTATTAAGTCAATGAATGAGGGGGCTGGAGAGATGGCTCAGTGTGGTCACCGGCTGTGGCCGCTCTCCTCTGGCTATGGCTGCTCTCCTGCTCTCTTAGTTCCTCCAATCAGTCATCTGGTCCTGACCCCAGGGCTGGTGAGGAGACTCTGTCAGTGGAGCCGCATTCAGACACAGGAGACCAGGTTCAGTGACACAGATCTGCTTTATTGCAGAAAGGCACAAGCTTATATAGGGGTAGTGGTACAATCACAGCACAGCAAGTAGGAAACCTCATTAGCATAACAGGTTTAGCATCCTATCACAGTAGAGCAAGTAGGATACTACTTTAGCATAACAGACTTAGCATCCTATTAGCATAACAGACTTAATGTCCTATCACAGAATAGTGGGTAGGATGTTTCATTAGCATAATGGGTTTCAGATTACAGAGCCTGGATTCCTGGAAACCACATGACCCTGACTGTTGCAATATCTAAGTGTTGCAA